ACCCAGGAGGCCAACATCTTTAGCGAGCCTGAGCGCTAAACTCACTCAGGGATATTTTGTTTGTTTGTTTTCACTTACCAGTCTTCAGTGTTTGCCAGATACTTGATTGCTTCTCGCAGAGCACTGTCTGGATTATTGAAGGGCTGCAAATCTTCCAAACCAACTTCCCAGCACTGAGCTGCATTGCTTCCAGTTGATGCAGCATAGTGCCGTCTGATCTCAGATGGATCATCTGTAACAGCATAGCTGGGATCTCGTTCAGATTGTGCCCTGCAAAAATGAAAAGGTGGAGGTATGTTCCAATCCCAGGGAATAAAGAAACTAGACAGTTCCCAGTGCTCCGAGCGTTGAACTTGATTTTCTCTAGCATTATAGCTGCTACTCCCAATTAATACAGCCTCCCACCCTTCCCCAACTCCCAGCATTTATGTTAGATTAATTTGCAATGTGCAGTTCCATTAGAATTTCCACATCTACGCAATGAAAATTCTTCCAAAATAAGGGGAGGGGGTGGTGAGCTCCAAAGCTACCTTTAAGTTAAAGCTGTAGAGAACAGCGGGAGTTTAACTGTCATTCCCAGTAATTATTGAATCACATCAACCTCTATGACATGACCCACAGGTTATGTGTAGCTTGCTTCTGGAAATTTGACATTTTTTAGCAACATTTTAAAAATGATGCTTGGAATATACTTTTAAAACAAAGTTCATTCCATGTCTTCAGTGATGAAATGGTGTCTCCGCAAGCTTGGTTCATGTTATCCAGATAACCTCCAATGGTCTTCCCATGGACAAGCCACACAGGCTTTACACTAACAGAAAGTTTAAACTCAACTTACGAGGAGACAGGCGTTTTCTTCTTAGGTGAACCTCCCACAGGAGGTTTTCTGTTTGACTTAAGTGGCGAACTAGACCCTGTTACAGATAGATCTGGAAAGAATAGAAACAAACGTTACTCAAATTTCTTAAGGCAAATCTAAAGACAGTGATACAATCTCTGGTGTCTTGACTGACCATTGTTTTCTGATGCAGCAGAATTTTCCTTTGCTCTCCTTGACTGATTCCTCTTCAACTCTGCTTCCTTCTCTGCAAGTTTTCTCCGTAATTCCTCTTCTTGCTGTTGTTCCTTTTCTTTCCGTTCTGCCTCTGCTTTAAGAAGCTCTGCTTCCTTCTGCTTCTGTTTCTGTTTCATCCTTTCTCTCATTCTCTCTTTCTGTCTTGCCCGTTCACGCTGTTTCTCTTGTTCGATCTCTTCTAGCTCCTCCTGTTGCTTTAGTAGCCGATCTTTCAACGCCTTCTCCTGTCTCTGCAATTCCTCCTGAAGCTGCTGTTGCTTCTTTCTTTCTAATTCCCGTTCCTTCTCTTTCCTGTCAAGCATCTTTCCAAGTTCTACCTGCTCCTTCATGATTTTTTGCCTCAACCTTGCTTCTTCCTCACGCTGAATTTGTGCTTGTCTCATACGCTCCTTTTCAAACTCCTCCAACCTTTCATGTTCCCTTTGAAGTCGTCCTTCTTCTTCTTGCCTCCTTCTTTCCATCCTCTCCCGTGTTGATTTTGACAGGCTTTTCCTCATGGTTTTTGGTGTCATATCCCTCAGGTTCTGAGAGGTTCCTCTTATTCCTGAGTCGCTATCCTCGTCACTATCTTCCAGGCTGTCAGAGCTCTCTTCACTCTTGAAAGTCGATGTTTCAGTGCTCGTCAATGTTGTTGTTGTGTTAGTTGAGATGTCAGCCTCTTGTGAATCTGATGGAGTTGGATATTCCTCTTCGCTCTCTGTTCCACTTTCTTCTTCTACTACTTCATCTTCTCTAACTTCTTCTTCATCCTCCTCTTCCTCTTCCTCTTCCTCTTCCTCTTCCTCTTCCTCTTCTTCGTCATCATCTTCATCTTCCTCTCCATCATCATCCTCAACCCCTTCATCCGACTCTTCTGTTTCATACTGTAGCTGACTCTTTACTTCATCCTCTGCTTTGTGCTGCTTATCCAATCTTAGAAGCCCTTGCCCCACAACTTCAACTCTTTGCATTCCCAGTATATCATCCTTACTCGACATGCTGCTACCCACTCCTGACGTTTTGCTCTGCTTATCATTATCTTCACGATAATGCACACCATTTTCTAGTGGATAATTATCAGTTGCCTTGCCGTCCCTGGTTCCCAAGAGACCATAACCTGTTACGCCAAGTCCTGGATTATCCAGGTCTGAATGTTTGGTAGGTAAAGGTGTTGGACTTTGAAGTTGCAGTGGAGTTCCTGCCGAGAGTCTTCTGGAATGGATTGGAGTTCTTGCGATACGTGGCTTGCTGTCAAAAGGGGATTCTGGCTTGGTAGGTAGTTTTGACAATCTGCAGAGGAAATGGACCGAGTAACTCAAAGGCAGCTTCTCTTAACCAAGTCAGCACACTTACATGTATTGACTTAGATATTGGTAAGCAAATCTGGGGGGAGGGGGGATGTTGAAGCACAAAAAGTTTGCATCCTGATTGTATATCTCCATAAGGGATTCCAAGCAATAGCAAGCCACACTACCTTCACTTCAGTGTGTTCTATGTTATTTTGTTCAAACATTGCACAATATTATGGGATACCAGGATCCACACTAGCTGACCATTAAGTATTGTCTACATTATAACATCACCTATCTATTTTCAATTTTAGCACAAACTGTACAATAACATTAACTGAAAATGAATACACACCTTGCAGTATTTTCAAACAGTGAGGTGTAAGGAGGTTCATTGTTATTCTCAGAGGGTGAAGGAGTCCGACTTCGTCCATCTTCACCATCAGTGACCACAGAATACATTTTCAGTGCTCGTTTTAAGTCTCCTTGCTTGTGAACTTGGCTAAGGGAGTCTTGGGGTGGAATACTCCCAGTCTGACAAAAAAAAGCAGTGATATAAATACAAATAATCCTTACTGATCCATTGGTCAGTTAAAGCAGGCTAGAAGCAGGATGCACTTTTGATACTACCATTTTACTGTTAGGTTGTAAAGAATAGTCATATCTTACCTTAGTAACAGGCGCCAGCTGAGGAGGGCGTGAAGGCGTCATATCTAGAAAGTCTATCACACCCGGTTGGATTTCACCTTTTTTTGTTTCTCCTACTTCAGGAGCCCTCAGGCCTCGCGTCTTGGATGCAGATCGTGCAAGCTGGGGTTTCATGTGGATGGGTGTTTGAGGAACATCTGCTGGAAAATACATGGCAAGTTCAAGACTTAAAATATACAATTGCTTGCATTATTCGACATTCTTCCATCTTCACTCAGGATTGCAATTCCTGTTTGTCTGCTGAAATACTTATTTCTCATAATGCACATTACAGTCAAACCAAATGAAGCGTACCCCTCAAGATTACATTTAATGAATTGATTAACTGAATATTGAACATGCTGGTCGTTTCAAGAATGCAATAATGAATTGATTATTTGAATATTGAGCTCGCAAGTCATTTCAAAAATCAATATTAAATTGATTTTTTTTTTACATTAAACCCATTAGCCATATTCTTGAAACGACTAGTAAGTTCAATTTTCCCAGTGACTGTAATTAATACACGCTAACAAGCCCTCTAATACAAATAAAGTGCACATAATTTTTCTTTATGACATACAGCCTAGAACAGAATAAACCCTACTACAAAGTCTGGTATCATGGGACTTTGAGATTCTGTACAAATGTGTAGTTCCAGAAAATATCCATACCTCCCCCACAGAAGGGATTTTTTCCAAGACCCCCCCCCCCCCCCCCCCCCCCCCCCCCCCCC